CTAAATCATGTATAACAATGTTGAGTTTTTTTCAAAATCACTTAATATATGAGTGTGCACTATGCTCAAGGACTCCTATGGAGCAATACTTATTGGGTACACATCTACAAGTGAAATTTGCGGTTCAAAACCCACTCCGGACGATCTTGTTTTCGACATTGAGTATAGATATATATATATGTGAAAATCAATAAAATTTCAAAAAGTATAATTTTGAACCTATAATTTCAAAAGTTTAGTGGGTTCAGGGTAAGAGACTAAAGTTAAACCCGTCAAATGAGAATTCTAGATCCATCTCTTTATAATAGTACCCATCCTCTTGAAATTTTGGATCCACCTCTGATGCTTTAGGGGAGCATTTATGCTTGGAAGATATAATGGGTTATTGGGTGGTATGTAAGGGTTTTTTTGTCAAATTTCTATGATGAATATCTAAACCATATTTCGATTTTGACATATCCTTAAGAGCCTGTTTGGAAAGCCACCTTGGAATTGGATTTGGGTGTAATTGAGTGTAATTACACAGTTTGGCATGTTTGTTTGGCCAAGTAATTACTTTGTCAGCATGGAATTGGGGGTAATTGGAGGGGTGTAATTACACTCTCCAATTCTCAAGGGGGAGGTGAGAATTGGTGGTAATTACACTGTGTAATTACAAGGTTGCTTTTTAGTTTCTTTCCATTTTGTTTTTATTTTAATTTATTTTCTTTATAACTTTTTATTTTTATTATTTTAATTTTTTAATTTTATTTTTACTTTTTAATTTCTTTTGAAATTTTAAAATATATTTTCTTTGTACATTATTTATCTTTTATTTCTCTATCTTTACTTCTTGTGATTCCATGTAATTGCTTTTATTTTATTTTTTATTTATTTTATTATTCTATTTTTTGAAACTACACCTCCTAATATTAGAAATAATGAGTCATTAATAAACTTGGCATATAATGAGTGATGCAATTAAAGTGGAACTTCGTTGTTAAATGTGGTTATAAACTTATCATGTGTCCTATCTTAAGTTGCAGTGGGACTTACTATTATTATGTTGGAATTTGACATAAGTTAAACTATTTTATTTTTTTGAATTTTTGAAATTGTGTTATATTCATGGTTCCAATTTACTTGTTTTGTAGTATTGACTCATTGCATGTTGTTTATTTTTTAGTTAGAATTGGTAGATTAGTTTTGTCAAACATTTGAATAATGTTATGACACTATATTTATAAATATTAATTTATTTTATCAAACATGAATTCCATGATATTCTTACAAAACGTATATTTTTTTAGTTTGTAAGTATCTAAACTAAATATTATTAATTTAAAAAAAATATATATATAAATTATTTTAACAATATTAGTTATAAATATATGATTATTAATTAATGTATATTCATGAAAAAATATACATCTTAAATACCAAATATATTATCATTTATATTTATAAAATCTTATAGGTATATATTTATTATATTAATTTTTAGTTTTGATAATTATTTAATTTAAAATTTAATCTAACTGTGTAATTACACTTGTGCAACCAAACAGTAAACTTGTAATTACATTGTAATTACACTATGACAAACAAACATGCTATCGTAATTACACAACCGTGTAATTACTAGGTTGTGTAATTACAACCCTAGTAATTACACCAATTCCAATTACAAGGTGACTTTCCAAACATACTCTAATTGATAAGTTTGCTTGAATAAAAAACATCACATCACAATCTAAAATTTGAATAATCTGATGGATTGAAATCGTTGGAAGTTGTGAAAGTTGATAGAACTAGAGTAATGTCAAGTATTTGGAATTCTTCATCAAGATCAACATCTTTAGATCCTAAATTCTGCCATTTTTTATACAAAAAATTGACGGATTCGAGTCATCATTAATCATTTGATATGCCATGTTGCGGCAATTCCACCCAGAGAGTAATGAGTTACTCCTACAACACGTCATTATATAATGCTCAAGGCTCTCGGTTGAGTAGCAGGAGCAACTTCTAATTTATTATGAGCCTAAACGATGCATTCAATAAGTTCTTGCCAATAACCACGTCCACAGAATAATCTCATTTCTTTCGACGGAGAGGGGCCACCTTCTTCTATTTCTACATCTAGGATTCGACTTGTGTCATGGATACTAATAGGAATTCAACCATTACAGCAAGGAAAAGATTGATTCAGAGGGAGAAGAAGAGGCAAAAATTGGAACCGATTGTGTACCACCACTGATAAACACCAGAATAAGCGATATTCACTGTGCCAAGAGCACTTTCTCGAGTAAAAGCTTTCACGGCCGGTTAACCAAAATGAGGATCCCAACTTGCACGAGCAATAGGTATCGAATTTAGATTAAAATGTTCATTACGTCATACGATTTATGGATCTGAGATGCTCGAGACAACAAGTATAGGCAAGCATCGAACATTTTACGAGTGGAAGGAGCAATTGTTGAAGTAGCTTGAAAAGTTAGATGGAGAAGAGAGCTTTATTACAGAGAAGAGAAGGTAAACCTCAAGTTTCAATTACATATTTGAACCTTAATTGCAGTTACAATATTAACGTTGCAATACTACCGTTGCTGAATAATTATTCAATATGGATAGGTGTGTTTGTTATTTGAAAAGGTGTGTTGTAACTGCAATTGCATTGCCTATAAATTACTTCATAAGTGGTTCATTCACGGCAGATTTCTTCTAATTCCTCTTCTTTCTATTTTCTCTAAAAGCTCTCTTGAAAGTCCAAGTTCTAAAGAGAGATTATTGCTGTCTGCAAATCTCTGGGCTTTGTTGTATCCCGAGGGTATATTGTCATGAACCAGCAGCAAACTAGTGGGGCAATTAATACCTAAAAGATAGCGATTTTATCACGCTCAAAGCCTAATTCATACCCATTGTTCTAACAGCAACAACTTCCTCACTATTACAAATCATTTCCTCATTGATCTCTCAGTTTCTATTTTCATTGGCGTTATATAATTTAACACAAAAGCCTACCAGCCGTACGAAGCCAATATCAAGATTGACAATAATAGCCAAAGTAGGGAAGTGGATATGGGAACGAATGAAAGAAATCATCATTCAGACCTTCCGTAAGAAGCATTTATAACTAAAGCTCAAGCCAACTAGTAATTTCAGTACTTGTAAGTTGTAAGACTAGAACACCATATCTACGTAAACTAGTATCTGCAGTGCTTTCGCGAAGAAACAAAAAACTTTTCCCGAAAGGTTTCGTGTATGACCTGCATAGTCTATTTGGCAACCTCTATCTTTTCACTATCTGGAGCTTCTGTTTCGTCTGCAGCAGTTCCTTGTTCAGACTGCATTTGGTTTGGAGGAGGTGGCAACAGCTGCACAGTTTCCACAAACTCTTCCATTGTTTCTGTAGCTTCCCCAAAACGGTTGTCATATTCCTCTATTATCTGCATATGTTAAGAGAAGAAAATATATATCAGAACCTCAAGCAAAATCAATATAACATGTAAATGAAGGGGTGACCTCAATGACATGATTTGGTTCGGAAAGCATGCTAGAGTTTTATATAAATTGTGAAGTTGGAAGAGACGTTCATACAGTTAATCAGCATGTATTCAACATATGGTTGGCAAGTGGCAACTGGCTATCTAATGGCACCTAAAGGTGGGAGTTATCCGAATGCAACACATTAACACCATGCACTCAATTGTACACCAACCATGGAAGCTCATGAGGATACATGGTCTCATCCTTATCCTTCAAAATCTAATCAAGTAAACCAATTTCCTTTAGCGTACCCAAGGATCCCAACAATCACCTCAATAACAAGGTCACACTCTCGGGCTAACCATTGTAAACGACTAAACCCATGATGAATGCACCATTTTTTTATTTACTCAAATTAGATGAGTGCACCAAGGAGGTAAACTATATCTTCTTTCTTGTTTCCTCTCGATTGGAGAAAGGTCATTTATCTATATTTCCATTGCTTAGAAGTATGAAAAACCTGTGGTGTGCAACAATAATACAACAGCTCACAGATGTCGACAAGTTACAATGCTGCAAGTTTAAATAGTCAATATACCAAGAGCATCATCTTTCCAAACATTACCGGGTAAAGTTCAACGAGAGAGGATGGCCTAATATTGATGATGTTAAGGATCTCAGCTTTCGCGAGCCTGATACTTTTACATTTTTCCAAAAATTCACCAATTGCTTGTCTTGTCTGATTGCAAGCAGCAGTTTGCTCTAAATAATCATACACCTAGAAGATCACAAACATCAGCCATTGCCAGGCCTAATGAAATACTCTCAAACAAGAAGTTGGATAATGTATCTTCCAACCTTGAACTCTGAAGGTGCAACAGGAACTATGACCCGTGTAGGATCTCTTCCTGCACCTCTCGAGCGTAGAAAGTCAAGCAATTCAAAGTTTGTGAGAGCACCTGCATTTGCTTCAAGTCTGCAAAAAATATTGTATGAGAAATTGACCCAACAACAAAGACCATGAACTTAAAAGCTCACTGAAGCAATGGGCTTCAATCAGGAACAAAAATCATAAAGTGTTCATACATCTTCATCACCAGAATCCAGAACTCTTCACCGGTCAAACTACTACTCTTCAATTCACAAACAAGCAGTCGTTGCCAATGGGAAGTATCTGTAATTTCAAAAAAACAAGCGTAAGCTTTGCTTTTCCTTTCTTTTTTCCCGGGGAAAAAAGTGCTTTATTTAGTTTTTCTCTTCCTGAGTACATCATTATTAGTCAACATTTTAGGCAAGTCTAATTAGTTGTATGCTAACACAGCTTCAGAGCTTAGTGGCTCGGGCTTCTTGGAATGAGCTTTGGTTTAGCTAGAGTACTTGAAAAATGAGAACACAAAGTCTTCCATGTTTATCCTGCTCTCCCTCTTTTCTTCTTTTGCAATGGGGGGCGGTGAGTGGGAGAACATTTGTAATGAAAAGTAATACTGCAGCATATTACAAATGTTCTCCTATGTACTAATATCATTATGAAAAGGTCCATCGGTATTTTATGATGCTCTCACGGCAATTACAATTCATTTTGTGCACTTGTGCCATGCTCCCATAATTGCATCAATAGAAGATTAACTATTAGATAAGTGCTAAAAACATCCACTCAAGATACCGTGAAGCTAGGTGTCTTTATCCTAATTTTGGTAAAGCTTCTTCGACACAATGTGAATTACTACAAGCTGTTTGAAAATTTTGATACATCCAAAGCATAACAAAAATGTGTGGCACAAACGCAGGATTAATCTCACTATAGGCTATAGCCTATAGCACACCTTGAAACATGAATGGCCTCTAACTGCCCACTGATTCAATGAAGTAATATAGAACCCATATACCAAAAAAATGATCCATGGGCAAGGATGAAGACGAGAACAATCAAAGTGTAGAAGAAAATCTCAATTAAAGACACCCCAGCATTGAACACCTAGAATATACTCAATACAATAAAATTCAAGGGGGAGTAGAAGAAAAATTAAACGCTCAAAAATACAGAAACACTCAAAAAGTTTAAAAGAAATTTATCTCTGGACTTCACGAAGAGCAACCAAGGAAGTAAAACAAAACTAGCAAACATATCTTTAGAGATTTTATTACTGGTTATTGATAAACCCAACTTGGGGAATTGCTTGCCTTTGAAATCTGAACCGACAAAGCCTAACCCATTAGGGGGAATTCTTCTATAAAGACTTAAACTTTCAGTTCCACTGATGAGCATTGAATTTGCCATACTCATAGAGGGGCAAATGCAAAAGAAATCGAAGTCTTGAAATCTTTTGAAGCAATGCCAAAGTCGTCAAAAGCGAAGCTTTACTGAGATATAGAGTGAAGAAACCACTGAGGTTGTCCTAGAAGAAACCACAAAGCACAACATATATATGAATAAATGTCTGAACTAGTTTTTGTACTGAAATAGGAGGATTGCAGCATAAAATTAGTACAGAAGATAGTGAAATTTTAGCTAAAAGAATCAAAAGAAAATTGGATACCAGTTGGAGTTCTCGTGCAAAAGAGTCTGCGCCCCAAAATCGTCTTCTGTTAGGTATTATCAAGGCAAAAAGACACCGTCGTCTTCTTCAGTTTGTGTATTTTGCCCTTTTACCTAAAAGACTAAATTACCCTCAGATTTAAAATAGATAAGGTAATAACAGAGACTATATATGTCTTTTCAGCTCTCCTGTCTTATAAAAAGACCCTCTGCAGGGTTTAAGGAGCCAGCTGAGATAAATCAAGAGGGCAGCTGAAAACTGAGGCTCAATTTGGGGCGGAATGAATAAAGATTTCAACCACGGTTAGCTTCGTTTTCATAATTTTCTATAACCCAATGCTCTCGTAATAATTTTCTCATCTCTTCAAATTTCTATCATGATTCTAGTTTAGATTCCATATTTCTCGAATTTTGATTCTATTTAATCACCTATATTTTTGTAAAATCTTCGCGTTGCTTTTGGTGCCCCTGCATTTAATTGTTTATCAAAAGAAAAACTTTATTTCAGGTTTATGATTGCAGCTGCTCATGTCGAAATCCGAGATAGATTTATTGGAACTTTTAACTTTTTTTACTACTCATTAGTACATGCTAAGAGAAGCTAGTTGCCGTATTGAAAATAGTAATTTAAGATGTTTTAATCTAGACCTGTAAAACGCTTCCCACTCTCGTTCCCTCTTTTTCTTTCTTTCCTTATTTTTTCTATCGTTTGATTTTTTTGGTCTTTTTCCCTAATTTTACTATTGAAGACATGTGCGAGTGTGAATTCAATCTACCTGCATTGCTGGAAGTTAATTTTGTCCTCACTTGATGAATTCAGATAGAGGAAAACCTAGAACTGCAGCAGGTCCGCTTCGCACCATTAATGTGCACAAATTTGCTGAGTCTCGAGCTTCTGAGCTTGAGTCTCTTCACCCAATTGTAAAAGAACGATTAAGTAATGATTTTAAATCTCAAAGAAGCAAGAGAAGACGAACAACTGAACATGACAATAGACTGGCAAAGAGTAGAGCTAGAAAGAAGCAGAAAGCAGGGGAGGATAATGTTATTAACCTGGACCATTTGGAGAAAGATAAAAAGAAACTTCCACGCCATGTTCGTAGGAAATTTGAACTTACAAAGAATTCTCAAAATGGTTTCTCAACTTCAGGAGATAGGGCTAAGAGACTCAGAACTCACTTATGGCATGCTAAGCGCTTCACAATGACAAAACTTTGGGGATTCTATCTGCCCCTTGGTGTGCACGGCTGGTAATGGTAACTTGCTGCTCTTTGGCAATATGTTCAAAGTGCAGCTACTAAGTTTTAGTTTTATCTTATTGCATTGAAAAAAACCATTTTGTCATCAAACAAGAAAAAATGCACTTGTTTAACTTATTAAAACGAAACATGTTTGTTGACTGTAAAAGGTTGCAATTTTGCCTATTGTATGCTTTCTATTGTGGGAAGAAGTTCCTTTGAATCTTATATTTTCTTAATTATGAATATATGATGCAGGGGGAGGGGCTCAAGAGCTCTTTTGAAGAAGCTAAAAGGAGGAGTACTTGTCCATGATGCAAGTTATTGCAGTGTTGTGCAGTTGGAGGGTCCAGAGGCAGGCATTTACTTACTCTTTCCTGCCAAAATTTTACTTGATAATTTTCTCCTCTGTAATTTATTTCCTTTTGGTATTACTTAGAAACGGACGAAATCTAATTAAATAAACATTGTGTTCTTATAAAAAAACTAAATAAACAACTTTGTTTATCTTCTATCAATTATTGACCCAGACCTTGGAATTATGGGCTCAGAAAAAGGATTAGCAAGGAAATAGCAGACTTTACTAGCTAGAGATTGAGCTTATATAACATGGTCATTCACATATTTTTCCAGGATTTGTTGCGGTCAATCCTGAAAACTGTGCTTGTGCCTTCTCCATATTCGCATTGTGAAGATGCTCGTAATGACATAATCTCTGGTTCTATCTATGGTAGTGGTGAGGTGGGTGGTCCATCTTGGTATTTTGTTTAAAGTGGTATAGCCTCCAAAATTTGCTTGCTTGATACTTGTGTTTCTTTTGACAGCTCCATCATGTAGGGGCCACCTTTTCTAAGACAGTGCTCCTGTAACCTATATGTGGCAACCACAGCAGTGTGGGACTGCTGATACAAAGGTCGATCGTGCCAATCAACAGAAAATTGATGACTGTGCTTCTTTAAGACGGCTATGGGTTTGGATACATGCTGCTGCTTTTAGTGAAGGATATAATGCTTTGCAAAATGCTTGTGAAAGGCAGGTTGAGTAAAGAATCATATGGTGTCCATTTCTTTTGCTCATATACTAGCGTTACTTTCTTCGGTTTCAGATGGTATAATAACAAGAAGATGGCTGAACACATATTCCTTCTTGATTATAAATTCACATACAGTTCATAGAATATGTAATTTACTTGCCTGTTGATGTTGCTGTATCGTCTCGAAAGACCTACAAATCCTTGGAAGCAATGCAGACTTAGCTAAAGATAGGGTACAATTGAAGAAAAAGATCCATATAGGTGATACTAGTTAGAATAGTCTATAAATGATGATATGAGTTAAGCTTAAAGAAAGAAGCAAGGATTCATATCATCAACCCCAACTTTGTTTGGGACTGAGGAGTTGTTGTTATTGTTGTTGTTGTTGTTGTTGTTGTATTGTAGATCAGAAATGTTGCTTCATGGTTTTCAGGAAGATGATGTTGGCTCCAGAGTTAGTTGCATTTCCCTTGAGAATCATCTTGGAAAGTTGGAAGTGATTGGATCAAAGGCATCTGAGCTCCTTCGAAAGATTTTACATCCTGCAACCTGGTACTTCTATTGAAGGCACAAGCTTTCCTTTTTAACTGAATTATGAACATGATAACTGAAAGCTGTTGTTTTCTGTGCAGTTCTTCTGTAAGTTCTTCCCTAGTGAAGTATGCATCCTACATTGGGAATGATGATCAAATCCATTCTTCAGCAATCTTCTCTCTCTCTATCAGTGATCCTCGGTTTTTGGATAAAGATATTGCTAATGCTTTGGAAGCAACGGCTCCAGCTTTACTATCTTATAAGAAAGATGAGAGGGGGGGAAATGGAACTCCAAAAAGGGATATGAAGTTGCTCTCATGTTCGTCCTTAGAACATGAAGGAGGTCAGGGCTTATCCGAGTGTATTGATCTGTGGGATTCTAAAACAGACATTGATCCTCCAATTGAAGAAAGCATCCTTTGCATGGAGAAACACCATCAGCGTATGGAGTTGTTTGGTGTTGGTGATATGAACTCAGGCAGACAACAGCCTTCTACTGAGAGACGGTTTTCTAGATTCTGCCCTATACTGCTTCTGAAAAGTGATAACCAAAAAACTTCTATTATAAGGTGAATTGCCCTGAAAAAATAATTGTAATAAATGAAAAGGGTATAGTATGTCAGCTCAAATATGAAATACTAACTTTTAGAAGATGGTATATTTGCAATTCTAGGAGAATTGTTAAATCTTTTTAGGGTAGCCAAACAAAATGAGGCCATATAACAGTTTCTGTCATACAGATGCTAGCAACGTCAGTTGTATGACTCTAAAATCAATCACATAACATTAAGCAACTATGTATGCAAATTTTGACTTGAGCGACTATGTATGCAAATTAATTTTGACTTGATGGATAGAGATTCAGAAGTTTTTAAATTAGTTATAACATGATTTATCATTGTGCTATAACTTTATATTTGTGTAACATGTTACTCATTTCTCTCTCAAACTTTTCAATATCAACGACATACACCTTAAATTTCACTTTTAGGTGTATAAATTCATATTTTCCCTGATTTATTTTGGTAGTACACTTCTGTAAAGTTTATCTTCTCTCTTGAAAAGCTATTTATTGGTCTTTTGCAACAATCCTCTCACAGCTTTTTTGCTGGTCTAACCACTAGGAAGAATAGTCATTCATAGTGCACTCACCTTTGAGTCTCATCAATCCAATTACATAAGAAAATGTTGCAATTACACGTCATGCTTTGATATGGATATCATGTTCCTATAGAGAATACCTCATAGTTTCTTTTTTTTATATAAAAAAAAAATCTCTGTTCAGATGGTCTATTATTCTTCCACTATGTTGGATTAAGGTCTTCTGGATCTCTCTTGTGACTAATGGTGCTCAAGCGATTGGTTTGAGAGAGAAGCAATGGATTGCTAGTGAAGTTAGTGTGCATGTTCTGTTTTCGTTCTGAATTCGAGTATGACATCAATTTTGAATCCTAATATATGTTTTTCCTCTTTGCAGCTTGGGTTGCCATGCTTTGCAAGGGAATTCCCTGATTGCAATGCATACTCTTGTTTTATGGCCTTGGAAGATGCTGCTTATGATGAAAAGTCTGAACTCCGTTCTCCTCACACAAGGACTTGGAAAGTTCCTATTTCATCTCCATGGGACAGTGTCCGCGTTGCTCTAGAAGGACTCAGTGGGGAAGGTCATGGTCGGATACAACACGAACAACATTTTCCAAACGATATGATAAAAAACTTAAAAATGAATAATCCATACCTGAGAAGATGCAAAACAGAAACAGAGAGCAGCTGCAATGCTCCATTTGATGGATTTGTGGCAAGGACATCTTATGTTCTGACTCAGTTTTTGAATGAGATCAATGGTAGTCATCTACTATTATTTCCCAAAGTGCTTCACAAGAAGAAGTGCATATCCAAATTTATGAAGGACGAAAAAATACTCAGTGAGGATACAGATGGGGTCATTTACCAGATGAATCGGGACCAAAAACTGTGTTTGGTCAGAGTTCTTTTGCATGCCTACAGAGAAGGTTCGTTCGAAGAAGGAGCAGTTATTTGTGCGCCTCAAATTGATGATATAATGTTGTGGACAACCAGGTGACAATCATTATCCATTTTGTGTTCAATTATTTTACTTATATTTATTTGTTACTAATGGAGCTTCTATCCAGCGTTTTAGGAGTTTTATCTGCTACACAATTGCCTCTTCATTATGAAATGCATGCCTAAGCTTACTGCTAGAAGATAATGTGTAGATAACAAATATATTTGGCAGATTACTCTTGACCCTTATATGTGATGACTCCGCGGGCTTCACCCTGACGATATATGCTGGATTAGAACCTTTTTTAAGGAATATCCAAATCACTTCAACCACTGTGCCATAGTTGAGAGCCTATTCCGAGATAGTATTTTAACTCGTTTCAACAATTACTAAACATGATCCCAGTTTAAACATTAAAATCCAATCTTGAACAATGGTTAGTAACTCACCATTTAGCATTACAACTAAAAAGCACTTTGTGACCTCGAGGCATCAAGAAGCATAAAATCAAAGAAAACTATTGGTTTTATATGAAAGGAGGTGCAGCGTATTGTACAACATCCTACCTGGCTATGTGTTTGCCTCTCAACAAGTGACAGGTAAAAAAAATTGGAAGACTTGTTCACATGGTACTGGATGGAGTGTAAACTGTTACGCTCTCTTAGTTTGCATCTGATGGAACTAACTGTCGATATATTGTTCTAATATTCTTAGATATGGACTTTCATAAGACATCTGGGTAGAGCCTATGAAATTGCAGAGTTGGGAGAACATCACTTTCGAAATGCGTTTATGAGCCTCTAGTATTTGGCAGAGTAGATGCATTAGCCCTGTTCTATGATAAATCACCAATTTTAAGCAAGAGGCACTTGGCGAGGGAAGTGGTCAAGGGGCAAAATACGGTTCTCTTGTAAGCTTTAGTAGTAGGTTTGTGAGGATGAGTTGTTTTTCTTCATTTTGTTACCACAATAAGAGGTATATGAGGAATCATTTCATGCCTATGGAAGGTCAAAGTTGTATCACCTTTGCTAGCTTAGTAGTTAATATATGTATAAATATAATAATTTATCATACCAAGTAGATTGTTTGTGATCTATTCCTGTTATTTTGGTCTGTGCTTTGCCCTTCAACTAAAGTCAGGAAGGCAAATAGCTATCTTGAAAAGTCTTTTCAAGACTTTTTCATGCTTTCATCTGTAGCCATTGTAATTAACAACTTTATATGGACAGAATGTAATTGTTAGGTTCATATTTTGACGTTTAACTGGACTATTTTATTGATGCTTGCCGTAACTTATTTTAATAGAAGTAAAGGGAGCTTAGGCCTCATTTGTTTGCACTTAATGGAGGTCTGAATCTTAATCATCCAGATCTCAGACATTAAGTGCGTTTGTTTTTAATATCTGAATCTTAATTATGCAGATCTTAATCATTAACTGTGTTTGTTTTTTTAACTTCACAACCACTTAATGGGTTTGAATAGGTATGTATGATTAAGATCTATAACAGAGACTTAATTTCATTAGGATACTATCACATATTCATTATTAACTGCCGCCACCACCTACCATTGTCAACTACCACCATGCCGCCGCCACCACCATACTCAACCACCTCCACCACCATCACGCCACCATCATAGTCGCCACCATTATCGACCATCACCACCCACTATCCCCACCACTCCGACCACCATCGTCCTCACCCACAATCAACACTCATCCACCTCAACTACCACAACTAACCACCCCATCACCATCAACAACCACAGTCGGCACTGCCCATCATTATAACCTACCACCACCCACCCACCACCTTCCTCAGTCACAACTACTACCACCACCCACCATTATTAACTATCAGCACCCACCACCACCATCCTCAATCATAATCGCCACCACTACCAATCACTACTAGCTACTAGCATGAACCACCATCATCAACCAAAACTACCACCAGCTATTGTCTCTAGTCGGCATTAACCTGTTAGCCATCACCACCAACAACTATCATATTTTAAAAAAACTATATATTTTGTTGATAGAATATTAGATTAGTTAGTATTTCATTTGAATTTTATGTTTATTAATTTTCAAATGAAGATAAATTTTATACATTCAGATGTTAAAATCAAACATTCTTAATTATTTAGTATTCAGATCTTAATATATTCAGATGTGTATTCAGATTCAGATGTCTTAATCTTAATACACATCTTGATATATAGATGTGTATTCAAATTCAGACGTCTTAATCTTAAAAAAAAACAAATGAGGCCTTAGAGGTGCTTCTTATTCTCAAATGCAGCTGTTTTGAATTATGCAGATCAGAGATTTCCAAAGGAGAACTTCAAGTACCTGAGTCCTTTGCAAGATCGTGCTTCTCGCAGGAAGCAACTGGTAAATGGGAATTTCAAGTACCTGAAGATCCTGCTGCCAAAGAATCTTGTAGATTACCGATCGGCTTTATTACAACAGAGTTTGTTCGAGGAAGGTTAGTAAATTAATTGGTACTTGTGAATGTAATTGCAGCATACTCATTCAGATAAATTTTATTAAATTAGAAGAAAATTTTGTCTTTACTTCAGTTATGGCTTGTTCTTTCATTTTGGTACTGGGTTCATCTGAATTCATCCTGCAGCAAAAAGCCTGTTGCAGTGGCTCTTTGCGAGGCTGTCTGTCTTGCTCGCCTGAGAGAGGAACAGTGGATGGCTGTAGGTGTAAGGAAAAGAAGGAAGGAGATTTATGTCCTGGTTAGAAATTTATGGTCCACGTCGTATAGACTTGCTCTTGCTTCTATCGTCCTGGAACAATGGGAAGATGATGTTGAGTGCATGTGATTAGACGGGGTTTATTAAGATTGTTTACGGTATTTATGCAGAACTCTTCCAACAGAATAAAGATGAGAGAGAGAGAGAGAAGAAAGAAAGAACAAGAAAGAAGTTGCAATTTCATGTCTGATATGTATTTTCCTTAAGATTGTATTTATCCAACAGCATAGTCTAGTTCAAATTCTTGAGGAAACTTGGCCGCATTGGTTTGCTATTTCCTTCCCATGCTGTCCAAGATTTGATTTCATTAGTTCACTTCTTTTGTCTTGTTAATGAAACCTGGTTCACATAGAACCATTTCTTTTTGTTCGTGGCCCCTTTTTACGTTCAGTTTCGTCTGCCGGATATCTGTCTTCTTTTTGTTTTTCCCCCCATTTTTCTTTTTCTATTTTACTATAAGAACCTTTTACAAAATTTCCGACCAGTACTACTGTTAAACGGCTAAACAGGCTCGTGAATCAGGAGACAGAGAGGGACAAACGTTTGATCGAATATGTATCCAGTATCCTGAGCTCCAGTTTGGGTTGCATCAGGTGTTTTGTTTTTCTGTTTCTGCCACAGTGCTAGCAAGGGATAAGTTGGATTTAATAACCATACTAATGGAAGATTCTGTCAATTGATAAAGACAAGTTCTTAATGAGACAATCTATACCACAGCTTGTTTCATTTCCATCTTACAAATCTCCTGCAAGCTAAACTAACTTCCCATTCATAACCACAACCAAAGTTCTAAATCATACAACTTACACAAGAAAATCAATATCTTGTAGCTCTACAGGTAGTGTAACATTTCCATCCCTAATGGCCATCAAGTCACTTGATTTCCCTTCCAAATAAGCTTCCAAAAATGCAACCAGAATCCCTCCAACAAATCTCCTCATTGGTTCTCTAGATTTCCCTTTCTTGCACAAACAATAAGTAGCCTTGCCTCGAATCCCTTTCGTTTCATCATCTATCATATCATTGTGTCCATAATCCTTTGCCACAAAGTAACAAGCTGGCTTGCAACATTCACTGTAAAAATCGCGATGGTTTACCCCATTGGGAGCACAAGCTGGGAAGAGAGGGTTCTTTTTAACTTCTCCCAAACCCGAGCCAATTACCATCACTGCCATATCAAGATTGAAGGAATGAGGAATGTAGGTGAGAACTGATGGTGGAGTTTGTTTTCCTTTGTCCATGCCATCGACAGGATCAACACCTACCAACGCTGAAAATTTCAGGTTAGTAGAAATATTAGCAATTTTTCCAAGAGCTAGCGCGAATGCAACTTTTCCTCCACGGCTATGGCCTGCTAGTCCAAGTTTTTTCAAGTTTGGCTCAACTCCGGATGGAAGGTAATGGTGCAATCCTTCAGCTAGCCAATTTGTGATTTCAGCAGTGGATTTGATATCCTCAGTTGCATCTGCTCCTTCCACCAAATATAACTAGTACGAGGCAAATCATCAAATGTCACTTGAGAACCAAAAGATAAAATCGATTCAAGTTACATACACTTGAGTTTAACGTGTGGTAGCAGATTAGTTATCTTTTTTACTTGGTTACCAAAGTAATACTTATCATAGAGATTTACTAGTAGTTATCTTATTAATGACCTGACTGTGTAAAGATTTTTAATATTGGCACTGCGTAGAACTTAAACTCAATGTAAATAAAATAATTGTTCACTAGCAAAACAGTATGCAGACTATACTGTAATGAATGGTTGATTTATAAATCATTATCCTAGATCTTAATTTCCTAATCCAAAAACTGTTAATACTAGTTACAAATAGTAGCAAGTACTAATAAATCTCTGCTTCCCAATAACCTCATATTATCAATATTTCCTTTACCAGACTTTCAATTGTTTTCAAACAAGAATAAGCTAAGTACTATCACACTTTAGAATGATTGTATAATTCAGAGTTCACAATCAATAAAGTGAAAAAGGAACAAACCTGAGGAGCCACAACAATGAAGCCATGAGAAGAGACATGTTGAATAAGCTGAGAATAGAAAGAATTGTAAAGAAGATAGCCATGAAGAAATATGAGTACAGGATAGCTTCCTGCTTCTGATGGGGTGGCAATCAAGAGAGCTTTTGGTGGAGAAGGATGACTGTTACATGTCTGTGGCTCAATTTTCATAAACTTAGTCTTATAATTTCCAATATCAAATACAGTAGTGGAAGTAGTAGAACTAGTAATAGAGGAGGAGTAACTTATCACCATGTCTGAGTAGATCTCTTTGTAACTCTTTAATCTATTATATTGTGTTTTATATATATATACCTTTTTCCTTCTTTTCCTTTGGTTAAGATAAAGTTCACTTTTGTGGTCTTTATAGACCCACCTTAGTGTATTTTCTAGTGTTTGATAACTTGGGACTTTGGCAATGGAAAAGCAAGAAACTAAAGTCTGCTAGATATTTGTGGCACTTTTGTCCTTGGCTAGAGGAACACCATTCTCTAGGACCTTCTGCATTAGCATGATTAGTTCTTAAGTGAGGGAATAACTAATACTATACAACAACAACCCAGTAAAATCCCATAAGTGGGGTATGGGGAGGGTAGTATGTACGCAGACCTTACCCCTACCCCGAAGGAGTAGAGAGGCTGTTTCCGGAAGACCCTCGGCTCAAGATAATAAGAAAAACAAAAACAAAAAGGAGAAGGTGAGAATGGGAGGTAATTACACTGTGTAATTATAGAGTATACTTTTTAATTTCTCTCGTTTTTGTTTTTATTTTATTTATAACTTTTTATTTCTATTATTTTAATTTTGTTTTTACTTTTTATTTTTTTTTTAATTTTAAAATATATTTTTCTTTGTACATTATTATCTTTTCTTTCTCTACTTTACTCCTTGTGATTCCATATAATTACTCGTATACTTTATTTCTTATTTGTTTTATTTTAATTTATCTTCTTTATAACTTTTTATTTCCATTATAATTTCTTTTTTATTTTAAATTTTAAATTTTATTTTTACTTTTTAAATTTTAAAATATTTTTTTCTTTGTACATTATTTATCTTTTATTTCTCTATCTTTACTTATTGTGATTCCATGTAATTGCTCATATATTTTATTTTTTATTTGTTTTATTTTCTTCATTTAGCGTAACTGTGTGATTATTCTAGAATTTAAAATATGTTAACTATCTTTCTTTTCCTCTCAAAATTATGTTATATTTATGGTTCCAATTTACTTGTTTTAGTAGTATTGACTTGTTATTTCACATTGCATTTTGTTCATATTTAGTTAGAATTGATGGATTAGTTTTGTCAAATATTTGAATGGTATTATGATATTATACTTAGAAATATTAATTTCTTTTATCAAACATGCATTCCATGATGTTCTTACAAAACGTATGTTTTTAGTCTTTATAATTAATTAAACTAAATGTTATTAATTTGGAAAATATATATCAATTATTTTTACAGTATTAGTTATAAATATATGATTACTAATTAGTGTATATTCAATTGTTGCGGCCAAACGCACTCACACAAGTGCACGTGATCGTAAAGTAATAAAGTAGTGAGTCGAGTATCGTTCTCACGAGGACTTGTGATTAACTATTAACTAAATTAGACTATCCTAATTATCTATACAAGAATTAAACCTAGAAGTATTTGATTCTATACTAATCAGATAAAGAAATATAAATAATGAACTTTAAACAGAGGAAGAGCAGATTTTTATGATATCAATGTAATGAAAACGATCTAGGGTTATGGGCTATCTAACATTCCTATTGTATTCTTCAATTGAATTGACTAACTAATTTATCGAGTTTATTGGTTGACAGGGTTAATATTGCTCATAAGAATCTGTCGAGTTCTTACTCGCCTATTCAAGCTAACCTAACGCCTATATGTCTATGGAGTTAGAATCAACAAGAACGCATTTATAATTCCTGTATTTCAACCAAGCAAGGCAATTAGGTATATGTCTATCCTAATTGCGAATCTGTTCCCCGATGCCCAGGTTCAAGAACTTGCTCTACTCAATCCTATATGCAATCTAGAATTCCCACTTTCGAGTTCAACTCTAGATTCGTAGATAGTATTCAATTGGTGATCAAGCAACCAAATAATTAAGTGCAGGATTGAATAAATAAACCAATATGATAAACTAAGCAATCAAAATCAATATTCGAATAACAATAGTCATGAAAGAACCACAACCCTAGAACGTGAAGTTTAGCTCCACATAGACATGGCAGCCAAACAACAAATCATACAAAGAAACATAAAAATTACTAAGTTTGGTGGAAGAAAAGATGAAACCCGATGAATTCCGGCCTCCATGGCGGCTCTGTGCTTGTGTTTTCCTCTCAAAAACGTCTTTCCCCCTCAAAATACCATTTTTCCATGTATATATACCAAGTAGGGTTGGGCTCAAACAATTATACCTTCTCCAATGTGAAAAAGGACATTTTTCCCGGGTTTGACTAGCGCGATCGCGCTAGTGGCCCAGCGCGATCGCGCTAGTGGCCCAGTCTTCTGCCTGACGAGCGCGACCTGAGCGCGATCGCGCTATTGACGCGCATTTTTCACCCTGTTCCATTTCGAATTTGGAAAAACGTAAAACATGAAAGTTGTAGCCCTTTGAGTTAGATTTCCAACCATATATTGTGGAGCCCAAATGGATTTCTGAGCAAAAAGTTATATCTATTTTACTAGATAGTGCGCAATATGCCTACTGGAGTTTTCGTTCGCTCTAACTATCATCCGTTGACCCCCAAACACGATCCCGTCTTAATTCCTTGAACTTTTACTCAAACTTTAAAGCTCCAAATCACTCAAACTCATTCTATAACATCTACATAGCTCGGAATCACTCCTACAAGGCATAAAACACACCATTAGTGCAAAACACTAGCGATTAAAGCTCAAACTCAATTAAAGTGCAGTAAATTAGAGTGTAATAATCGACTAAAATACGTAATTATAGCCTATCATCAACACCCCACACTTAAACGTTGCTCGTCCTCGAGTCAACCAAAAATTTACTCTATCTATGAGCACTTAACATATTCGAAGCACACTACACCAATGATTATGGTTGATAGCAACAATTAAACTCTAGCATATGCAATCATCATACACTTCCCTTTACTTATGTCATTCTTCAAAAATATTCAAACAAAGACAATATGCTCACAACAATTCTAGCCTCAAAAATCGACTCAATGTCACAATGCACTCATGGCTTGAACACCCAACATCCTAGAGAAGTCTAATAATGTTACCTATCCTTCATGAAACCATGTGCCCTCACAACCAAGGCAAGAGAGTAAATTGAATCCACACATT